AATGCAGCGCGTATCCAGTCGAAGTTGCCACTATCTCCGATGACCCTGAACAATTTTCAACCTGTCATTTTGCATGTCGTAAAATAAATGACTCACCAAGACGGAGCTACTTCGGTCGGGGTCGATGTGGTGTTAGCGTTCTCCCAGGGCGGCTTCGATTGTTTCTGGAATCCGGCACCACCACCCGCGAACATTAATACGGAATATTATATCACTAGAACACGAAATACACAGCACTGGCACTATTTTTTTTTGTCGCGTTTCAATTCCTCTCGGATAGCTAATGCACTACACAACTTGTCATTGTTTACGCATCAATGCGGTACCTATATTGCGCGCACGAAGTTTTTTTTTACGAAGTATCGTTCGCGTACCACACGGGCGGTCTCACTAGAATGTTTCCGTTGAATATTTTCAGTGAATGCGTAAAGTATTCCGGAGTTACCGTGTCTGCGCTTGTGGCGACGGCTATTTTTATTTTTGGTACTCGAATTTTTTATCACATTTGCGTAATTACCCAGCCCTCAGTGCTCTAGCCGGACAATCGGCTGTGCTCAAAGCAAACGTATTGTTGTGAGCTATTTATACGTGCATGGTGGTTTCTTTTTGGAAGTCGCTTCACGTATTATAGGTCAATGGCAACTCAAGCTTATATTAGATTCGTTCTTTGAATAATTCTCGTCACGCTGCGCTCGTAATTATCTGTTAAGTGTAGTGTAATTATGTGTTTTTTTACTAAAATATTTTAATCTGGGTGTCATAGGATGCTCCGTGTGTTTGTTTACATTCAATTAGGCTTTTTCTTAACAATTCGGGGTTTTACTGGACTATTTAATTTCATATTCTTGTTTTGCATGATATAATAAAAAACACAATATGTTTGCAATGATATTCTATGAAATTAATTGTGAAGCTCTCAAGCTTAGTTCGTGTTAGTGAAAGAGGGTAAATTAAAAACACAAAATCGCATTTTGTTATTGCGAATATAATAAATTAATTTACTATAGCAATGTACCGAAAATTTTTATGTTTAACACATAAGCCGTTTAAATCTCGTGTTTATTAAGTTGCCTTTTTTTGTCGGACATTTATATTAGTAAAAGTCGAACTGGCTAAAAATGTATATCTTATTTTATTTTCACCTCGCACAGTCGAATCTTGTTTTTTACTGTTATATGTAATAGCCATCGTCTGGAGTGTAAAATATTTAAAAAAAAATAGTACTTTAATGAGAGTGACTGTGATGAATAGACTCGCTTCTTTAACGTGGGAATCGACAGCGAAGTATGTTTATTTTAGTAATATATGTTTATTTTTGTTACCTTTACTACTGGCTCAAGCCGGCAGACTTGTTGTTGGTACGAAACCAGCCGTCACCTGTGTTACTAGTAGTTTCGATTGCAGGTTCATTATTAAATTAAACCTTTTTTAATTTGTTTTTATTGCAGGTGTTGAGGAGCGTTCACATAAAAAAAACGTGAATCATTTACAAACTTGAGTTGTTATTTTCTTTTTGATTTTATGCTACGTGCTTTGAGATGGACCAGCAGATACTCCCGGAGTTCACAGATCGCGCTCATTTTTAAATATCTAAATAGTATTTGCGTGCACAACACAATTATATGATAGCGCGATTTATTTCTTGAATGCACATGCATTATTGAGTTTGTAAAAATGAACGATTTGCCTAGATTATTAGTATTTGGTACCGGAAACACTAAAAAGAGATTCCCGTTGTGTGAATTTCTCGCGTGTTTTGTTAGTTTATTTTTAGGAATTTAACATTTCGCGAGCAAAGAGCTCGTCGTAAAACTAATGTTTGCGCTTTCAAACGAGAGATCGTGTCACTGTGTCGTAATATACGATTTTATAGACGTTCGCTAATTGAGCATTACCAAAGTTTTAAATTACCAAACACACTCGGAAGATCTCGTGTGACGTAGCGATATGATTACCATGTGCCAACTCATTTTAGCATGTTATTTCATTTGCCTTGTTTCGATGAAGATATCGTAATCACTATTTTAATATGGCGTCATGTTTCAACGTCTATTAATAAATTAACAATTATTATATGGGTATCAAATCAAACTGAATGATTAGTAAATTTAAATCAAATTTAAATCATTTTTAAATTAATAAAATCATCCATAAATTTATAGTCAAAATTAGTTTGTAAGAACCTGAATATAATAAATGAAATAGTGTTATTGTATATTTAATTAGCAACGAACCTTAGATGCATAAAATATTTCAAAAATGAGTTTTGTTTAAACTTTGCCTCTTACTGAGAACGGGCTTTGCTGTAGTAGACAAATCGACCGCTTTTATTTAGCTGCTATTTGGCTGCTTAAAACCGATCAATTTCTATATTAAGAAGAAAACCAACTACGGAATATGTTGTATTACGTAGCGCGCTTAAAGTAGCAATAAACAATCGTCTCTACCAAAGTTAATTTAATATTTTGCTTTTTGTTTTTATGCCTATCTTTATTATTGGCCACTTTTTTATTTAAAATGTTAACGGTGGCATAAATACGGAGAAAAGGACGGAGAAAAAAGAAAAATATGAAACGGATTGAAATTTTTAAAATTCGAGACGATAAGGTAATGTAAATTTTGATTTTGAAATCTAAACATTGATAAATTTAGTTTTACTTTCGGAAATGTTTTCATTTATTAGAAGCATTTATTGAAAATCTCTCTCCAAGAAAGATACATATATTTGTTTCGTTGAATTTGATCAATTAATTATAATTAATGTCTCACTTTACATCTCAACATAAGATGAATGATATCATAAGATGGATCTTGTACTCTAGTTCTGAAGTGTTTGTAATGTCCAATGTTATACATTTAAAAGTTAATTCAAATAATAGGAAAAAATGCTATCGAATTAATTACTTGACGAATGTAGCTACGAACACAAGTTCCACAGAATTACATTTATACATTTCTGGTATGATAAAAATTAAATTATAATTAATTATTAATTAGTGAAAAAAATTAAATATGTTACAGAGCTTACAGTGATCAGTATTATAACTGTAATCATAATATTCTTTTAAAATTATAGTGCTTACAGTTTAAAATACATTTAAAAAAAGTACAGCGCAGATTTTAGCAGATGATAATACAATTTTTTTTCATAAATTTAATTTTTTATTTAAACACAAGTCAATGACGATATTTCATAGTAAGGTTAAGGATTTTAAGCAGCTACGGCAGACATGATATTTGTTTGTCGAAAAACATAGTACAAGGAGAATTTTTAGCGCTTTTCGAAATTTTTGCTTTAACTAATTTCATTAAACTTAAACTCATTAAAATTATTTCAAAATTAAATGATTTTTTTTAAAATTTTAACTCGCTTCCCAATTCAATTTGTTCCAAAATTTTCCAATCCAAAATTTTCGATTTTAAGATAATATCGTTAAGATATCAATAGTTTGTGTTAAAATAATACATAATTAAACTTTGTATTGAAATACAGATTCGGACGTGCAGCTTACTAGATATCAATTGTTCATTGTAGCCCATATAAAAGGCAATGTCAGAGACAAAGCCAGATCATTTCGTTCATTTTACATTCTTTGATGTTCGAACTGTTACATTTTTAAGTTAAATTTTCAACGGATAAAATTGTTTTCTTTGGTAATGTGTGCCAAAAATCGTTATGCACTAAAACGTTCAAAATCTAACCAATCTGTTTACGTGGTCTCTGTTTTTGGAAAGCTTTGTAAAACAATGCTTTTACAAAATCAGAAGTTTCCGCATGATCTTATTACAATCGATCTTATTGCGATCCATTCTCTTATTCTTAATGATATAATTTCGGCGCACAATGGATCTATTACCAATTTTGAGCTTTCAAAATAACTTGAAGCGGGCATGGCTTACCGACCTATGGATGGCCTGCCACAGACTGACGATTCATATGAACGGTCAAAATGAAAATATATGTGAAACCAATATTATTCGATTGAAAATGAAACTAATTTAAACATCATCTAATATGACTAAAGTACAGAACAAATTTTTTTGACTATTACAAATAAATAAATAAACTTTTCAATCGATTTAAAATAAAATACCTGATTATTGTTTTTTATTTACGATAATCATAAATCAAATTTGAAATCATTGTAATCATGACCGCTGATTCAATTCATTAACTTTTATTTCAAACAAGTACTTTGGAAACCAAAAACATTAATTTTAACATCCTATTATCTTGTGTTATTAAATCATCGAATTACACTAGCACATTCACAAACTAGGTAATTAATATTTAATAACAGCATTAACAAAAACATGTTCACTTCAGAGGGCGCTTGATCAAAGTTAAGTCTATAAATAGCTTTGACGGGTCAAGCTACGTGTCCAACTTTAGTGCTGATTTTTATTACGTCATACTGAATTCTCAAAGCGTAATTGATTGATATTGTATCTTCTTTAAAATGAATTTAAATCAGCGGCCGTGTTCTTACCTAAGACTTACCTCGATCACCCCCCAGGACTGGATGGATCTTACCTGCTACAAAGAAAATCTATCATTAAATTGATGTTTCAATAACGCATTATTGTAAAATATTTTTTATTTCAAAAACTATGCCAAAATTGTTAAATTATAATTAGTTTTCATAATGCTGTCTTTAAAAATCTATACATCATTCACGCATGTTATACTACATTATATTTTGGTCATTGATTAGTAGATTAGTATTATATTTAATTTTTTTTTTATTGCTTTGATGGATGGACGAGCTCACAGCCCACCTGGTGTTAAGTGGTTACTGGAGCCCATGGACATCTACATCGTAAATGCGCCACCCACCTTGAGATATAAGTTCTAAGATCTCAGTATAGTTACAACGGCTGCCCCACCCTTCAAACCGAAACGCATTACTGCTTCACGGCAGAAATATGCAGGGTGGTGGTACCCAGCCGCGCGGACTCACAAGAGGTCCTACCACCAGTATAATAATATATTTTGAAACTTACCGTTGCGTGATGTTGTACTCTTCTTTTGCCGTGCTATTTTCATTCGTTGGATCAGTGGTGATTACCTGAGGGACATTAAAATGTTAGTTTATACAATAATTCGGGGATTTACTGTTGTGTAAGTTAAGTGTAAGTTGTTGAAGGAACAGAGAAAGAGAGCGTTGGATGCGTGTGTTTTAACGAAAAGGCTTGCAATCAGCCGATCGGTATCGTCGACAAAAAACATATTACTTTTACTGCACAGAACTTGAACGTAGCGTTTGGAAAAGTGTAACTTATAATTTCTCGTTTCAGCTTCAGTCCCCTAGGCGGCCGTAGTTCAAATATGGACTACAATCTCAAGCTATTAGGGTTGAGATCGTTTAGTTTTCCTCTAGCCATCAGTACGTACCCTGAAGGATATTTATTTAGTATCGATAGTTTATAAGCTGTGGGTTTTATTTAGTTAGTAGGTTATACTGTGAGAACCAATAGAAATAAAAATAAAGCATCTTTTTGTCCTTATTGATATTCAAGACTTCAGTCAAAGAGAAAGGTATTTTTGTCAACTAGTTTATTATTATTGACTTCGAAGGTAAATGCCACAATAGCCCAACTGATGTTGAGTATAAAACTATTGTTCGTGGACATCAGCAATTCCAGCAAAATAATCTGGCCACACTTCACCCAAATAGTATAAAAAGGATAATAAGGTTAAAATAAAGGGATGTTTTCAACTGTGTAACAAAAATATTCATGTTAAACTTACCGTATCGTTTAAGGCTTTCAATTCTTCTAAGCCGTCACTGTTTTCTGCCTCTGATGTTCTTCGTTCTTCTAATTCCTATTATTAAATGAATAAGTAAAGCAAGTCGATAAACGATATGTCGATAGTGGTCCCAGCCAAAGTTAGATCACACATCAAACTGACCATGATATATTGCTTAGTCTAAGCTTACCTGTCTTTTAGAAGCCATGGTTGTCTTGGTAGCGTCTTCAAATGTTTCTTCAGTACTGGTTCCCTGCATGTCTATCTTCAGTTGTTCCTGTTTTTATAATGGATTAGTTTCTCTTCACTGGCGGTAGGACCTCTTGTGAGTCCGCACGGGTAGGTACCACCACCCCGCCTATTTCTGCCGGGAAGCAGTAATGCGTTTCGGTTTGAAGGGTGGGGTAGCCGTTGTAACTATACCGAGACTTTAGAGCTTATATTTCAAGGTGGGTGGCGCATTTACATTGTAGATGTCTATGGGCTCCAGTAACCACTTAACACCAGGTGGGCTGTGAGCTCGTCCACCCATATAAGCAATAAAAAAAAATGATTTCAAAAATACTAGGATATAGCTAACACACGTTCAATAATTTAAGTTATAGTGTTGTAAAGTACAAAGTATATTCGAAATGGAAAATATAGGTTTTATTGTATGAACTTACCGATACTTTTACTGCCATTTTGTTGGTAATTTCTTCACTTTCTTCACTTTCTTCACTGTTATAGATCTGTGATATTGTTTCTACGACGATTGAAGCCTGTTAATTGTAGTTGTTTTTTTATTTTATTTTTATTGCACTAAACATCTAATAAATGGGATTTATCAAAGTGGTGGATTGTATGCTCTAACCCAGCCAAAATATAAATAATAAAAAAATTGTTCTACTTATTTTATTTCATGGTATTGACTCGCAATAATAAATATTTGATGATGAGTATGCTACATTCACATCATTTTGTTTGTTGCCGATTGATTTTCTGTTTGTCCTTCGTAAAAATACGTTTTTGTATCCACTACAAATTCGACAAATCGTGTTTAGTTTAAATAATGCGGTAGATGTTTTTTTTTTTTGTCACTGGTACCAGCCCCTCCCATAGATAATACCCATATTTTAATAGCTTCATCTATAACTTACCCAAGCACTATCTGCCATCGTCTCTTCTAAGATTCTATTGACTTTGAAGGCCACTGTTTCGTGTACGGCGCCTGAGCTCTGTTATTAAAGGATATTATAATTTGATATTGGTTAATAATCACAATAAAGCCATCGAGGTATCGGTCTGATTTTAAAAGCAAGTATCTAGTTTACCGTTCTTTTGAAAGGCTGTGTCTTTCTCGATGCCTCATCGGCTTCAAATTCTTCTGTGGTATTAAATGCTTCTAAGCCCTATAACAAAATAAACTTAATAAGCATTTTGTCTTCATAAAAACACAATCATTTTGAATTAACGTCTTACGTACACGAAGTACAGCCGCTAACAAATTTTCCCATGTATCAAACATTTCAATGTCTTTCATCTCTGGGTCCTGTCATCAGAAAGAGATGATTATATTATTCGTTTTTCGTAAAATGTAACATTACAAACAGTTAAATTATAATACATACCAATTTGTTGAATTCAATCGGTTCTATTATAAAGGCACCTCTTTGAACTCCTAATTTATGGCTTAATGCTTCCGGCTGGTAGAAATAAAATTGTTGTTTTAGTTTTTGAAGCTAATGACTATAAAGTAATAAAGCTAATTCTTGTAATAACTAAATAGATGATTAACTTTAGATTTATTTGAAAACAAGCGGCCCGCTTCGGCTCCGCTCGGGTCTTTAACAAAAATTTCAACGATATTTGACGTTGTTTTATTTTTTAAAATAAAAGAACACTTATTGCGGCGTAACTATAATAGGCAGACATACGCTGTCGCGACACTTTTTGTAAATATTAATATGTTCTACAAAATCGTAGTACATTATTTTATTCTATCATCAACAGTTTTCACAGGGCACGCGATGTAAAGAATATTTTAGGTAATTTTTTTATACCTTTGGTTACATTTTTGGAGTTTTAGTAAGAATCCCTAATTTTTTTCAAAAAAGATCATAGCCTATGTCGCTCGTGAATAGTGTAGCTTCCAAACAGTGAAAGATTTTTTTAAATCGGTTCAGTAGCTTCGGAGCCTATTCAATACAAACAAACAAACAAATCTTTCCTCTTTATAATATTAGTATAGATAAAATGCTTCTGATGAATATACTCGTAGAAGTATATTAATTACATAAGTGACAAATAATTGAGGCACTTTTCTTACCTGTCCTGTTGGGGGTATAACTTTCGAATTTACTTTTAGCTGAAACAAATGAAATATTTTTTGAGAGTTGTATAAACCATTCATTTAATGTGTAAATATTGAAAAAAAACTATTGTTTTATGCTGGCCTTAGAGAGAGAGAGAGAGAGACTTGAGCTATGGAAATATGCTGATTACTGAAATCCTGATTTTAGAATTATGTATTTACATCATATTCACAATTAGAAGTAAAAGTCCTTTCTCAACCTCAATCGCGTGATTGCTTCATGGCATAAGGTAACAGGAATTAGCATAGGAATTAAGACAGGACACTGTGAGTCTTGTCTATTTTAGGCATACAAGGTCATATTACTGTATTTCTATTGTTCTGTTTTTTTTTTTGTAATTTTTCGAAGTGGCTCTATAATTCTTTCTATATGTAATATTGTAATTCTATAAGTATCATTTTAAAGCCAATAAATAACACCGACAAGGACGTCCATAAAAAAAAATCCAAATAATTTCACATCAACTCAAAATGAAAAAGTAATGGTAAGTAAAAAAATGGATTAACTATAATACTCACCGCTCGATGTTTTGCCATTATCTAAAACATACAAAATAATATTAGCCAATGTTTTGCATTTTTTTTTTTTAATGAGAAATCTTTATTGTTTTAATTTAAGAATGAATCTCAGAAAAAGCGAAAAACAAGCGAAAAGACTTGAGAAGAGTTTGAAAGAGTTAGTGAGAGAGTTAGAAAAAGAAGAAACTTCCTTTTTTTAGAGCCCAAAAAACTACTCATAGCGAATAGATAAAAAAAAAAACTAACTAGAAAAATTAAATGCAACTCACTTTCCGTGGATCCAATCGAAAGTCAATGATCTCGGCATTTTTATTATCCGGTATCATGCTAGTACTATTCGGGTAAAGACAAATTGTTTTGTTGAATTTGCGTACTCCTATTAGAGAGTACGCAAAAAAACAATTTGGTTTTACCCGAAATTGCTTTTTTGCAAGCTCATTATCATCTACAGTCCTGTTCATTTTGAATTGCCGAAGAAGCCTTTGTTGTTCATCTGGAGGTGGTGCCTGCAGATGAGGCTTTGTAACTACCAGATACAACACAGCCGAGATCGTGATCAGTATAGCCGTTATTATCGCGAAAATTATCCATTTTAGTTTCGTAACGTTGAGAGTGGGGGAGACAAGCCGTGGTTCGTCGGGTAAATCGATTTCGTCTTCATAGTAAAAAATTTCACATAAATCATCCGCAAAATGGACGCAGTGATCTTTCTTTCTGACTGGGTGGTGGTAATCTGCCGCCATTTTGATATGTTTCTCTACTTCATATTTTTTTCGTACATTTCTTTATAAATCTAATCATTTTTCTCCATGATACTCCAAAATATAGTTCAAATATTTTGTATACGTATGTATTGTCCTATATTATATTTCAAAAACTACTTATACATATCACGAGCATTGTTCTAATTTGAGTTTATAATTTTAGATTTTAGTTTTTTCCATTTGTGTGATGTTGAAGTCAGTTATCGTTGAATCTTGCTTGTTCTTTTATTTTGCTGCATTTCTATTTTATCTCTGGGATCATCAAAGAGCTCATCCATATTATAGCTCAAATCAAAACATGGTTATGTACTTAATTCTAATTCTTAAAAGTACTTTAAATGATTATTTGATATTTCAATTTCGATGATGATGATTTCGGAGATGTCTCATTTCTCTGTGGAAATCATTGTGGGCTCGATTAACAGTTTGGATAGTATTATCGATTACAGCTAACATAAATCGTAGCAGAAACATCGAATCCAAAACCAAAAACAGGGTTACACAAATAGTGACGTCGTACACATAATTCAGGTGTATGATGCATATAATACTGATGGAATTGTAGACCACGTATAAAACGAAATAAAAACGCATCTCCCTCTGTCAAGCTTGGATATTCAACACCCACATACGAAACGTCATGACTAACAACCATAAGGAGAAAATGTACGTGTAAAAAGAAAAGCGCTGAATAAATGAAGTACTGTCTATTTTATGACCAACGATATTTAAATTTTCCATGATCGGGATGAAGTGCATGATGCAGGTCTGCAAAAAAGGAAAAATGATCTTGAATCAGACAATTCTATTAATTGTTATTAGGAAAAAATAAACAATAACAGGAAATATAAGCATGTAGGGAGAGGAAGGTAATATTTAGGTAATAATAAGAAAATACTTTTTCATTCAAGTTTAATGGGCTTAATGTTCAAATTTACTGGGCATTTAGGCAAAAACTTATTGTTTGACTTTCACTATTGAAAAATTTCTATTGAAGCAGTGACAATATTCAGTTATGCCTGGGAGAACAAAATTATATAGCCGCGTTGTAATTGCGCGCAATTAATATTTGAAACACATCACTATCGCAAGCTGTGAATGCTTACGTATTGGAAAATGAAATTTAAACTTTTTCAATCCAAAATCAAAATAAAATTGCGTATTTAGGGTGGAATATGTATTAATAAAGTTTGCAACATGGTGGTAGGACCTCTTGTGAGTCCACGCGGGTAGGTACCTCCGCCCTGCCTATTTCTGCCTTAAAGCAGTAATGCGTTTCGGTTTGAAGGGTGGGGCAGCCGTTGTAACTATACTGAGATCTTAGAACTTATATCTCGAGGTGGGTGGCGCATTTGCGTTGTAGATGTCCATGGGCTCCAGTAACCACTTAACATCAGGTGGGCTGTTAGCTCGTCCACCCACCTAAGCAAAAAAAAAACATAAAATTTGTAGCTGAAATGTTTTCTCGATGTTCTACACTGTTCGAGTACCAACAAAATAATTGACTTAGGCATTAAAATGTGTTTTTATTCAGATCTCATTCCTCGTACTGAATAAGAAGTGATTAGTTGCCAAAGAGAAAGTGAGAACAGTGAGATATAGATTAGAAATTTAGTGAGAATTTGATGGCAGTATTAAGCTGTGCATATTATATGACAGTATTAAGAATGCCTAGAAGAGCTTGCCTATAAGAGCTATTGGAAAGTAAGCTAATTGACGATGTAGTCATTATGTGAAAAGCTAACTCAGGAGTAAGCTTTCAACTATTGCATTTATTAGTATGTGGACGAACTCTCAGCTCACTCGTCGATAAGCGGCCGCGAGACCCGATTCTCAAATGTTATTTAATGGGGAGAAGGGGCTCCCTATTATTAGAGAATGGTCAGGGTATGTGCGTAGTAAATATATTAGAGGGGTTACCAGTTATTAGGGAAAGGGTGAGGGGTGTGTGAAGTATGTGGTTGTGGAGTTTGTTATTGGTGCAAGGGCAGGAGGATTATATTAAAGAGTATATGGTATATATTATATGGTATGTTATATGGTATAAGGTATATGGTGTATGGTGTATAGTATATGGTATATATGTTATGTGGTATAAGGTATATGGTGTATGGTATATGGTATGTGGTATGTGGGATGTGGGATGTGGGATGTGGTGTGTGGTGTGTGGTGTGTGGTGTGTGGTATGTGGTATGTGGTATGTGGTATGTGGTATGTGGTATGTGGTATGTTGTATGAGGTATGATGTATGTGGTATGTGGTATGTGGTATGTGGTATGTGGTATGTGGTATGTGGTATGTGGTATGTGGTATGTGGTATGTGGTATGTGGTATGTGGTATGTGGTATGTGGTATGTGGTATGTGGTATGTGGTATGTGGTATGTGGTATGTGGTATGTGGTATGTGGTATGTGGTATGTGGTATGTGGTATGTGGTATGTGGTATGTGGTATGTGGTATGTGGTATGTGGTATGTGGTATGTGGTATGTGGTATGTGGTATGTGGTATGTGGTATGTGGTATGTGGTATGTGGTATGTGGTATGTGGTATGTGGTATGTGGTATGTGGTATGTGGTATGTGGTATGTGGTATGTGGTATGTGGTATGTGGTATGTGGTATGTGGTATGTGGTATGTGGTATGTGGTATGTGGTATGTGGTATGTGGTATGTGGTATGTGGTATGTGGTATGTGGTATGTGGTATGTGGTATGTGGTATGTGGTATGTGGTATGTGGTATGTGGTATGTGGTATGTGGTATGTGGTATGTGGTATGTGGTATGTGGTATGTGGTATGTGGTATGTGGTATGTGGTATGTGGTATGTGGTATGTGGTATGTGGTATGTGGTATGTGGTATGTGGTATGTGGTATGTGGTATGTGGTATGTGGTATGTGGTATGTGGTATGTGGTATGTGGTATGTGGTATGTGGTATGTGGTATGTGGTATGTGGTATGTGGTATGTGGTATGTGGTATGTGGTATGTGGTATGTGGTATGTGGTATGTGGTATGTGGTATGTGGTATGTGGTATGTGGTATGTGGTATGTGGTATGAGGTATGAGGTATGAGGTATGAGGTATGAGGTATGAGGTATGAGGTATGAGGTATGAGGTATGAGGTATGAGGTATGAGGTATGTGGTATGTGGTATGTGGTATGTGGTATGTGGTATGCGGTATGCGGTATGCGGTATGTGGTATGTGGTATGTAGTATGTGGTGTATAGTATACGGTATATGATGGATGGACGACATCGAGGTAAGAAATTGAAAATTAATTGCTAATCATAATATGTTTGAATACCAAGCAAAGGAGGTGGTGAGTTACTCTTGAAAAAAAATAAGTTGGTAGAGGGGATGGGTGATTGGCTGTGTGGAGGTAGGAGGCTATTGAATTGCTGTTCACAATAGATAAGGTTGGATGGGAGGCGGAGGGGTGCTAGGTTGCTGTTGAAAATAAATGAGTGGGGGGGGTGTTCAAGAGGTGTTGTGAAGTGCCCTTCAAAATAAATTATGTTTATGATATAAGCCTGGTGGGGTGGGTGGGGTGGGTGGGGTTAGGGGTGTCGTAAGTTGCTGTATATATGTATGTACATGAATAAATAGCTATTTCAAAATAAAACAGGGTGGGTGGTGGCAGGGAGTTCGCTGTTGTTCACAACATTATGTACATAGATGGGAGGTGGAGAGGCAGTTTACTAAAAGGTTGTGGTGTGCGTTAGGGAGGCTGGTTGCGAGGGCCGGGGGCTTTGAAAGGGGCGGAATGAAAGCGGTGGGGTGAGGGAAATGACGAATGACGTACTGAATTTACAAGACTGATTATTCAATAAGAAAAAAAAAACAAGAGCAAAATTGCCTGTATTATATACATGATTGATTTTACAAGTTGTAACGAAATGAGTGCAATATTTTTGGAATTACGGTATATGTGCATCGAGTTACTCAGGCATTGTTAAAATTTTTAATAAATTTTGTGCATTGTAATTTCGCCATTAATATCATCTGATTTTGTTGAAAGACGAATGATTACAAAAGCCTTTGCTCGAAACCATAGAAAATTACGCAAGTTGATTATTACTAATATCAAATAACAAAAAAGAAATGTAAGTTTGAACTCAGCGACGCGTAGAGCGGAAAAATGAATCACGGGAAATGTAGTTTGTGAAAGCCCGCAACAATACAAATTTTAATTAAGAACTTTCCAAACATGAAATCTTCACTAAAATTTAAGTGTTGTAAAAGGGTAATATTTTTTCTTTTTTAAATTCTGCCTGCTTGTTGCGGGCTAACAGAAAACAGGAACACACTGCACTAATTGAGGCCGTACATCAATGTAAGCTCGGGATTTTAAAATTCCTGAAGTTTATTTTAACTCTAAATAATTATCGCAAAAACATTCATGTAAGGCCGACAAAAAAATTGAAGCTATGACGTACACTGATTTAACACATTTAAAAAGATCATCAACCAATTCCAATTTATTTTTTGCTAGTCCGATTAAAGTTAAAACTATCAGAGAATTAAAAGAGAATAAGTATTCTTAAATTGAAATTGTTTGAGCCAATTTACAACATATAAATGCAAAGCACAACACTGAGAAAAGAATCGCTTGGATGCCCGCAGACTGCATGCATATTTCACTCGCCAGCTGACACAAAATATATAAAAACTTTAAACTGAAAATTAAAATATTTACGTTGTGGAGTAAATAAATTGTTATTTAAAAATAATATTTTATTAAAAATAATATATATATTAAACTTCTTTTTTTATTATTTAAAAATCGTAAAACACAAATAACTAAATAAATACTTCACAACGCCATCGAATAATGAAGCCAATAGTTGAATTTATTTCGAGATGTGACTGGTCCAAATAAAATAAAAGTCCAAGGGCTCCATTAAAATCACCACAAAATGTGATTATCACTTACTTGTTCTGTCCGGAATCAGCAATCGGCTGCAACGCCTTAGACGCCC